GAGGGTGTAAAACCCACACACTTCTGCTACCGTGTACACTTGCTCACTTACAGCAGCATGATCTTCTGTTCTGAAGGTCCTATTGGAACACAGAATGTACAATGACTACTTTATTATATTTTAGTAACACCGTGTACAGTGTTATAATTGTTCAGGTTACACAGATCACAGTACCAGCGTCTGCATGGTAGTAGTCTGGTGTTTCTCTGTCCACACAAGAGTCCCGAGTTCGATTCCCGGGTGGGGTGATTTTTAAATCGAGTATTTCGGTCTTTTTCCGGGATGTTGTACGGTATCCCTCTCAGCCCGGGTTGACACTGACAAGCAGTAGGTATAATTTATTTGCTAGAGGGTTGATATTACGTGGTGCTCCGGACTCGGGATCGAAAGACCTCGATCCTCCTAAATGAAATAAATTGTATAGATGGTAGCTAGCGTAAAAACGACTGGCCTCCACGCAATCCGGACCTGAGTCCTCTGGACTTCCAATATTTGATGTGTTGGAAGAACAAGGAGTGTGGGGGAAAACTTTGACAGATTTGAAAGGAGGGTACGAATGAGATTTCCTCCTATCTCAGAATGGGCTTTACTCGAAATTGGGGGTATGTTTTTTTAGTACTCTACCTGGTTTATTAATCTACCATAGCAGTCTCCACCTGAGATCCCATCGTTTATGATCCCGGTTCACTTAAGATTCTGTTGTTTAGTGTTTAAAAAACAAAAAAGAAACGCCCCCCCCCAAAAAAAAATAAAAAAAATAAATAAGTAACAACAAATTTTACTACACAAAAGTCACCCCTGAAATCCCACTCTCGAGTCTGCTGAAGTTTCCGCATTTTAGATCATGTTTAACTGAACAAAAAACGTCATAATCTCTCTCCATCTCTCTTTCTCTCCCACCCCCTCTCCTGGCCCTCCAGGAAATCGCGGTCTTGTGACCGCCGCGTTTTTCCATCGAGTTCCGCAATAAACCCGCAATTTTTTTAAATTTTAGGCAAAAATACACCAACGCTTTAATTTTAACAGAATTTTAAATACGAAATGGTGCGAGTACAGAGCCGATAGGCCTACGTAAATCATGGTATCGGCCCAGCTCAAGCCTACTGAGCGTACTCTAAAAGCTATATAACCGGACATTCAGGCCGGAATGCATCATGTAGGCCTACAACACAAACTGAGACATAGGCTGGGCCTAGATCTAGATATTAGATCTAATGTGTGTAAGCGTGTGCGTGTGATAAGAAAGTAGGTGTATGCGTGTGTGAGGTGTACGTGAGTGTGTGTGCGTGTGAGTTCGCGCGCGTGAATATTATTGTTCGTACATGATGCATGTGTGTCTACATACACGGTAACCGGCACCTAGTCTCAGCATCTACGTACACGGTGACCCACCGGAATGAAAATTAACCAATATTTGTCTTGTGCTGTCACTTGTTGAAATAAAAGAAGAAAGTTATACACGCGTCTTGTTGGGCTCGCCATCGTTACCGGTCATTGAACCTGTGCTTTCGCATCACACTGTGAGTACCTGTTGGGGTCACCAAAGTTCATTCAAAGTCTGTGCGCTACGAAGTATGGGGCTCTGGAATGGGACATATATTGATTTTTTAAAAAAATGTACAGCCGGGGGAGGGCTGGAGTTGAAGGCAACACCGTAGGACAAAAATTGAACTTGGAATTCTTAACTTAACTGCCCGGTTACCGTGTACGTGACACCGAGACTACGTGCATGGTTGCCGGTTACCGTGTACGTAGACACTGAGGCTAGGTGTCCGTGTACCGTGTACGTAAACAGACCTTTATGTAAAACGCCTTAAGCTGCGTTCACACGGGAGTGGGTGCTATAGAAATGATCTAAATCTACATTAGTACATGTATTACTATTGTTTATAAATGGGAAAAAAAATTTGCTGTATTTTACGACTTGACTTAGTGTTAAAACAATACCGTGCAGGTTTTAAAAGAGAACATATATCTGAAATAGTAGATCTAAATATACAGATTACCGGTGTATCGAAGGTTTCAAGAGAAAAATAGAACAGGATCTGGTTTGATTGGAGCTTAAGCTTATTTTGTATTTAGAGGTTGTTTCGAAAATCTCTCGTCAATTTTTTGGTTTTTTATAGACTAAACCTCACACACTTCTAGATTTTTGAATGAACCAAGTAGGCCTACCAGGCATGTACTAAATTTGGTCAAATTTTATGCCTTCATTTAAAAACCGAGGGTTCCGTTATTTTGTGTCACGCGTTATCATATTATATTTGGTCGATAACTTTTTATTGATAACGTACTCATGTGTTGTTACTAGTAAAAATGTTGTTAATTAACATTTGATGAATTTGTGTTGTTTGTCATGATTTTTTAAAAGGCTGTGCTGCTTTTATGCTACCGGTACTCAAAATTGTCATGTTTTTTAAACTAAAAATGTTAAGCACGTACTAATACGCCTGGGATGAGAAGCTTGCAATTTTTCTATTTCAAAAATGCAATTTTCCGCGGGGCCAGCTTCTCTCTCTCTGCCTGCAGACAAAGTTTTTCACTTTCAACTCAGCGCTGGAACGTTTGTTTACACTCATATCACAGGCCGCCACGTGCTAAGACGAGGTACATTTATCGCCCAAGTCTCGTTCGGACGCGAGATAGGGCAATTTAAACATCTTGGTACATGTACATGTAGTAGTTAGACAATCTTTGATACCGGTACCATTACGACGCTGAATTTCTATTTTTAGTAACTTTGTCACTGGCATTCCGATGAATGATAAAAATTAAATAATAAAAGGTGATAGATTTAGGGGATCTACAACAATGTAGTCAAGACGAATTGATATATATTTTTTCAATAGATCTAAGTCATTGTGCAAAAGTAAGAGAATCTAGATAAATGTATCTAGATGTTCAATCAATTTTTCAATCCATCAAAAGTTGTTGTTCTCATGTCTGCTGATGCTTCATGTTTGACAGTAGAGATAGCGTACGTATTATTTTCCTCCGAAACATTAATTTCCGCATCCATACACCTTTTTGATTTTGGGCCTTTATAATTTATATAAGCACATGTAGTCCTACATTAATTATATGTTACTTTCATTTATAATTGTTTTTGAAAGCATTTTCAATTCCTTTCACTTCCCACGCGCGGCACGTATAAAATTATGATTACAATTTAAGATTCCAGGCCTGACAAATGTTAAATAGCGTATAATGATGGGTTAGCCAAAGCATTTATTTTTCACAAAACAATTAACGCCGAGCCATGTGACTAAAGGGAAGTAATCACCGTAATAACTCTCATTTAAGTGAAAAGTTGGTTATTTCCCCTGTTATAACATCTTGGTTATATATATGGGTTGTAATTTTGTTCCTTGAGCATGTTCAATTTTTCAATCCATCAAAAGTTGTTGTTCTCATGTCTGCTGATGCTTCATGTTTGACAGGTGTCCCTGGTTTTAGTAATGTGCCAGCATCAGAGGTCCAGATGTCCTTTTTTTTTTCTTCTTCTTTTAACATTTTTCTTTCTTCTATAGATATGTAGATCTAGATCTGCAGCTGAAAGTTACAACTTACAGAGATTTTTATCTATTTATTTATTTATTTTTTTTTTTTTACTGATGTGTATTGTTTTCTTTTCCAAATACACAACAAATTACTGATACTGATATGTTCTGTTTTCAATTTTTCTGTACATAAAACATGAAAATCATGAAACTTCGTGTTGAAAAAGTGCAAAACAAGTCGCGAATGGTGTTACGGTAACTTGCATAATTTTTCTTTTTTGTGTGCATAATTTGACCTTCTAAATTTGCATAATTCTACGGGGACAGATAGAAAACATGACAGACTCAGACAGGGAAGACTAAAATTTATTGCAAACACAGAGAACAAACACATTTTGCGAGAGATTTGACTGTCCCCGTCCAGGGCCGCGTTAACTAAGTGCGGGGCCTTAGGCTGTCCATGAGCCGCGGGGCCGGGGCCCCTCAATGACGTTGATGCTACTACTACTACTACTACCGCATTGTAACACCGTACTGATGGAAAGCTATACTGTAAAACGTGATTAGATGTAGGCCTACCGGTATCCACCAATAATGTGGATTAAGACGACGACAAGCACAGAATGTTATAGTTTTCGGCCTAGCGCCTAGGCGTAGTCAAAAGACAACTTCGGAAAACACATCAGCAGCAGTCACAACAACAGCAACAGCGGTAGCATCAACATCCTTCTCATCAACATCAACAACAACTGTAAAAAAATAAAGCGATACAAACAACAAACAACAACAACAATTTAACAAGAGGACCATTTTTTTTGGGTTGACAAACATTTTTTAAACGTCGTGTTTGCAAGCGCGGAGCCCCCTGAGGCGCGGGGCCCTAGGCTACAGCCTAAACAGCCTTACGGGTAACGCGGCCCTGTCCGCGTCGGATTATACAATTGTGAGGCCGCGTTTTTTCGCATAATTCTGCAAAATTTACTTAATTTTGGACTCCTGCTTTTTATATCACGTTCTTTTTTTTGGGGCATTTTTCAGAAAACAGTTTAACTTGCTTAACGTGCCAGCATCAGAGGTCCAGATGTCTTTTTTTTTTTTTTTTTTTTTTTTACATTTTTCATCCCTCTATACAGCTGAAAGTTAAAGAGATTATATTTTTGGGTTGTTTTTTTTTCTGAATGATGTGTATTGTTTTCTTTCCAAATACACACAGAATTACTGATACTGATAGGTTCTGTTTTCAATTCTTCTGTACATAAAACACAGAAATTCTTGTTGAAAAAATGCAAAATATGTTTTGAATGACGTTACGGTAACTTGCATAATTTTGCATTTGCCTTGCTTAATTTGGCCTTCTAAATTTGCATAAATCTGCGGCGGCCGCCGGGATGTAGCCTACATTTCACATTTTCTATGCTCTGCGTAGTACCGTGTTAGCCGCTCGGTTCAAACCAGAAAGCGGGCCCGAACGATCGTTTTCCCGGCCACCCTTCTGGTTTGAACAGAGCGTTACACCCTTGCGCCACGGTGAGGCCCGGTACTTCCGACTTCCGCAAGGGGGGGAGTGGGGAGGGGAAGTCTGTGAGCTGTGGAAGACAAAACAAAAAAGCGATAACAAAAATTTTCCCTAAAATTTGGTCCCGTGCCCGATACCTACTGACGCTGTTAAAAAAGAACTTGCTATTTTCCGAACCGGTGACGTGGGCCAGTTCCAGTTCTCCGCGGACACCTGACACCCCACATCAGTCTATCACGCCCTGTACACCCTAAAAACAGATTATTAAACTGCCCCCCAAGCTCAAACTGACATCTTACGTAATGAGGGAGGGGGGGGGGGATTTCTTTAAATCTATAATTTTGTCCCGTGCCCATTCCTAGCAATAGCATAGAAATATCTAGAATATCATGAAATTAGTAGACGCCATCATGACTAATCAAATTATCAATACAACCAGGGGAGACTAAAGTTAGTAAGTACAGTACCAAGAACAAAATAACTAAACATGATACAAACACTTAACAAACGCTACACAATATACATTCACAAACAGACAACTCAAACTATAACTAATTAATTATAACAGCATTACATGTACCTGTATTGTTAGCTTTAATTTTTTTATCCTAACATCCTCTGCTCCCAATGAGTCACGAGGCGGGCACTTTCCCACATTCCCACTCCCTAGTGGAGCAAACCAAATTTAGTTAGTCGTCACCAGACAGAAAAAAAGGCCAAAATGTGTGCGCTCAGTCTCACCTACTGGTGACATGGACCAGAAAAATAAGACACACATGGAATACACATACATTTGTCTCTACTTTATCTATAGTATCTATGGCCAGTCAAGCAAACCAAAAATTCCAATCACCAAATATTTACACAATTTAAAATTTCGGTGATGTGATGGCCAATCCCCCCCCCCCCCTTCCCCCAATCTCTTCCCTTTCCCATAAAATGAACTACATGTAGATCTACTGGCATTCTGGATTCCCTTGCTTGCTTTCCAAAACTATACTATACTGTATATCCAATATGAAAGTTCAAGGGTCAGTTTCCCCCTTGACTCCTGAACCATCATATTTGATAACAATATTGGATTGTTAAGCCACAACAGGCTACTCTTTAAACTGACTACACATTTTCACCCCCCACCTTAAAATGCTTTTCAAAGCAGAAACCCCCAAACAAATTTAAGAAAAAAACGCAAATATTATTACAAAACTCCAAGCTGTCAAATACTGTAAATCTCAGCCCTTATCTGCATCATTATCAATCCAACCCCCCCCCCAACCTAAAAATATGTTTTTATTCCATTGCTGCCACTAACTGAAAACATTTCAATAAACAATGATGACATACTGGACTGTCTATACATAATACATGACAAAACAAAGAAAGTGTTAGTGAGTAGTGTGAAGAGGGTAAATCCTATCGAGACTGGCGCACTTCCTATCGAAAAATTACTGGTTGTATTATGGCGTCTTACCTATTGTAAAATTATGAACAAGACATTTAACACAAACACAAGAGGAACATCCTAACAACGAACGCATCCATACAAAATGTATCCAGATCTATAACATTTAAAAAAGAAGAACAAAAATCTGCAGGTAGAGAGAGAGAGAGAGAGAGAGAGAGAGAGAGAGAGAGAGAGAGAGAGAGAGAGAGAGAGAGAGAGAGAGAGAGAGAGAGAGAGAGAAAGCTTTCCCCTGGACTCACAAAAGCCCAAGTGGAGGAAGTGAACAGTAGTCTATCCCAGTCTGGGCTTGAATTTGACAAACATTATTAGACAGACAAAAAGCCAAAAAATATTTTTTAAATCCAAAACTACACCACATCGAAAGAATATGATAAACTTAAAATACTACACATGGATGCAGACAAACTAACACACTAGACTTACCACACACAGCAGTTCTTCACTCAGTGCTACTTTCCCTCACTTAGATCTAGATAAAAGCCACCCCTTACTGTCCTTATCCCCTCATCGGTTTCCTCCACAGTACATCATACAAAACTATAACCTGTCCGCACCTAGGTCCCGACACCCACCTTACCTCTCCTCTCGCCACCCGACTTAACCACTCACTGTACCACGCTTGTCCTCCAGCCAAACGAGTGACAATGGGCTCTCCTTCCCTAGCTACTTTAAACAACTCCCGGTATCCCTCCGTTTCCACACCAACTATAAAATAATTCCTTCTCACCTGAAATCCAACGAACACGTGCGATGCTTCCATCCCGTAATACTGGCCTTCCTCCAGGTCCAGACACTGCTCGGGCTCGACTGGCTCATCTGTAAGAAGTGACGAAAAATTCCCCATGGCGGCGAAGTCAGCGAAGACGACAACAAGGCTTCTGGTGGCACCCTTCAGATCTGGAACGAATAGACCCTTGGAAGACAAAAACAGAAAAGGTGGACGTGAAAACTTCAGAAAAGCAACTCAACAGCCAAATAATTGTTCTGAAAAACTTTGCAAACCGTCTCAAACTAAATGTAGTGAGTGAACACACTTCAAACAGTGGACAGCTAAAGCAAGGCGTTACTCTCAGAGCAAAATGGCGATCAACAAGGACATCAGCTCAAAGATTTTTCCCCACAATTCCTTGGTAAAATAAACCGGAAGTTCAAAGAATAAAGAAAGGCGGAAGTACCTCATGTGAAGGGCAAAAAGGCATTATTATTATTATTATTATTATTTAAATTATTATTATTACTATTATTATTACTAGCCTATAAATAGCATCATGTATATATTATATTGCCTCCTTTCATCTCCAGGAGATGCTCAGCGTCCTTTGCAATTTATTAGTTTTTAAAAACCTTCTCAGATTAGGGCGAACTATCTCGAGATCGGTGGTCTTGTGTGCCAGTTACCCACGTTGAAAATCAATTGATAATCCTAAAATCAATAAGAGTAGACTTCTGCCGCTACGTGACGAAATTCAAAATTAATTCCTTCCAAAACTGAACATACTCTATCAAGTCAAAATAAAAACATAGATCTATACATTTATAGAGAGATTGGTAGGCTACCTTATTCGATGTCGGAATGTAGCTGAAGGCAAAGATCCCCACAACTCAGTAGGAAAAACGGTCGTCATATTACAGAAAAATCAGTTGCGTGGCAAGTTGAAGTTGAAGAACTATAGCTGTTGACTACCCCTGAGAGCTAGCACAGGAACGCAAAGAAGACAAAGAAGAAATAAACCCAAAGGTGTTGATGAGGGTGTAAAACCCACACACTTCTGCTACCGTGTACACTTGCTCACTTACAGCAGCATGATCTTCTGTTCTGAAGGTCCTATTGGAACACAGAATGTACAGTGACTACTTTATTATATTTTAGTAACACCATGTACAGTGTTATAATTGTTCAGGTTACACAGATCACAGTACCAGCGTCTGCATGGTAGTAGTCTGGTGTTTCTCTGTCCACACAAGAGTCCCGAGTTCGATTCCCGGGTGGGGTGATTTTTAAATCGAGTATTTCGGTCTTTTTCCGGGATGTTGTACGGTATCCCTCTCAGCCCGGGTTGACACTGACAAGCAGTAGGTATAATTTATTTGCTAGAGGGTTGATATTACGTGGTGCTCCGGACTCTGGATCGAAAGACCTCGATCCTCCTAAATGAAATAAATTGTATAGATGGTAGCTAGCGTAAAAACGACTGGCCTCCACGCAATCCGGACCTGAGTCCTCTGGACTTCCAATATTTGATGTGTTGGAAGAACAAGGAGTGTGGGGGAAAACTTTGACATATTTGAAAGGAGGGTACGAATGAGATTTCCTCCTATCTCAGAATGGGCTTTACTCGAAATTGGGGGTAGGTTTTTTTAGTACTCTACCTGGTTTATTAATCTACCATAGCAGTCTCCACCTGAGATCCCATCGTTTATGATCCCGGTTCACTTAAGATTCTGTTGTTTAGTGTTTAAAAAACAAAAAAGAAACGCCCCCCCCCCAAAAAAAAAAATTAAAAAAAGGGAGTGCTTATTTGGGCCACATATGGCCTAAATAAGGTAATGGAGGGGGGTTTAGCTTAAT